ACGTACTAATTCATCCCGACTGTTGTTCGCATGCTTGGTATCCCTTCAATGATCATCCGTGACTGAGATTCGAAGTTCACGTCAAAATTTTGGCAGGACACATGGGCTCGGTACAGCATGCGGTCGTCGTTCTCATCCATATATCATCGTCAAACGGACGGCCAGACGGAGCGGACCAATCAGACGATGGCGCAGTCAATCCATACAAATTGCCCAGATATATGAATATGGGTGGACGCGCTGCCCATGTTGGAATTTCGTACAACACCACAATATTAGCTACGACGGATCACGCTCCATTCTACTGAAATTATGGGATGGATCTTACAGTACCCGTCTCCACCAACGTCAAAAGTCAAGTTCCAAGATTGCAGGAGTTCATTGAAAAACTTCAAGCAGCCAGCGGCAAAGCTATCGAATATATTTGGAAAGCTAATACCGATGCCCGACGCTACACTTATCTTCATCGACTGAATATTACTATGGCAACTGGGCCGTTAGTCCTTCTATACATGAAAATTTTACAATAGCCGCTACCACCAAAGTTGCGACCTTGCTATTGTGGATCCGTACAAAAGATCAAGATGCTGACACATTGACCATCAAAGTACGACTACCCGACGAAGGATCTCCTAAGATGTACGACTGACAGACGACCCTATCATTGAGCCAATGAAAATCCTAAGTTATCGTGTCTGCATCGACAACCAAGGAAGACATATTGAATTTCTGATACGACGGACCAATCGAACCAGCAAGAATGATACGTGAGTGCTCTTGGACCAGGCAATTCGGTACATGAGATTTAATTATCTCGCAAATGCGAGGTTGATACAGACTACCTTTGCCAAGAAGCTGAAGGGAGGGGGGGGGGGGGGGGGGGGGGGGGGGTGGTTGTCAAGATAAGCTAGCTACGAAGAGGAGCCATAGAATGGCGAGAGATTTTAGGCTAGGAGAAATATCGAGAGAGAAGGGGTTTGGAATAGAAGAGGGAGGGGTACAAGAAGGGGGGTTGTACCCTCTACAGTAGAAACCAGTATCACCTACCAAGCCTACCATTATATATAGTGGCGGAAACAATTGCCCGCATGTTTTGCATTGATTTGGGTTTTAAGTTTTTAAGACCACTATACATTGAGCCTTAATATTTAGTGGTGGTACGATTTGGGAGGGGCACATACTGGATGTGTTCATAGCACAAATATCCAGAATAGTACATTGGATCTTAACTCATATCCCAAAAGATTTACAAAGGGTACATTCAGACAAATAGTTCCAAGCAGAGTGAGCAAACTTCAAAAGTGTGTTTCTAGGTTCTAGCCCACCGACCTTTGGCCTTGATCACCGCCCCCACCCTCCTAGCCGTGTTATTGATGAGGCTAGAGCAAACCTCATCATGGATCTTCTCCCATTCTTCCTGGACCAGGTCTTAAAGCTCCAGCATTCTAGAGGAAGGCCTTTTATGCTTGGCCAGCTCCCTTTTCAAGTAAGCCCAGAGGTTGAGGTTTGATAAGAAAGAAGGCCACTCTAGGGCTACATACTCATGTTCTCCAAGTCATTCCTACGCTAGGCACAACAAATTCTTGGGGTCATTGTCCGTACCGAAATTACTTCAGAGGGGAAAATTCTATAGAAATGGAGGTCAATTCGAGTTCGTCATGCAAAATGCCCTCATACAGGGGCCTCTTCATGCGTCCGTCAATCTTGCATATGAACCCCACCCCCGCACGTGTCACACATCCCCACACCGTCACCGATCCTTGTCCCCATGGTTTACCGTCTGTTTGGTTTGGTGGTGCTGCGGGGTTGTGCCTTCACGAATCCAGGCAAACGCGTGGCCATTGGAGCTAAAGTAGTTGATGTTGGTCCCATTTAACCATATCACATGCTTTCGAACACCGATTGTCCACTCAGCATGCGACTTCACGAATTGCAACCGGCCCCTGATATCTTTCCAAAACAATTATGGCTCCTACGAGTGCTGCACCGTGACTAGACCCACGGACCCTAGTGTGTTTTCAATGGTGCAAGAATGCACAGTCAACCGTGCAACGTTAGTTTCGCAATATCTACGCTAGATTTGACCGCGTTATTCGTGATTTTACCCTTCAATGGTACGACGAAGACGATCCGTGATAAGATGGGGCCGACCGGCTAATTGCAACTTTGGCCACACCTCAGCATGCCCAGTCTCAAAGATACCATTCAACTAAAAATCGTCCACAATACTCTTGCCTACGCCCATTTTTTTCGCGATTTTCCTAGTGCTCACCCTCTTATGCAAAATGGTGGGTCCAGGAAGAATGCAAGAAGTTCCCTGCCGAGGTTTGTACTAACCTCGAAGGTAACATGCCTAGGAGGGTGCGGGTGGTGATCAAGGCCAAAGGTCGGTGGCTATGTACCAGAAACGCAGTTATGGAGTTTACTCTCTCTGTTTGGAAATATTTTTCAGTTGTAGCCCAGCTTGCTCCTCCGTAGTCGGCCACTACGGCATCACTGTCCTTCTCTCTAGACTCCGGTGCGTCAGCCTGTTTCTTCCGCGACCACGCCGCCCTCACGCCGCTTGCTGCACCTGCCGCTGTCGCCTTTGCGGACCCCTCCGCTGGTCCTGTAGTTGCTCACAGCTACACTACCCTTCCCTGTCCGGCGGTTCCCTCGAGTTCCCTTACAGGCCTGCACATCCCTTCGTTCTCCGGGAACTTAGTTGGTGTGGGCTACCTTCAGGACCTCGGCGTCACCACTACGTTTCCTGGTCACGACCGGTACGCGGTCTGTTCCGAGGCTGCCTCAGGTGCCCACGGTGCGACGTTCCTCAAGTCTGTTTACGCTGGACACTGCTCCCCCCCCGGCGGGCGGGTCCTCCTCCGGTCCTGCGTTCACCCAGGTAGCTGCGGTCTGCTCGTGTCGGTCGCTCACTCACCCGTCACTATTGTGGCACCACCGCCTAGGTCACCCGCGCTCCTTCGCGTGCGTCACATGTCTCAGCACGGTCTAGTCCTCGGCCTCCCTGCGTCGCTCCCTGCTCTCCCTCCCTCGCCTGCGCCGTCATGCACGCCCTCCGTCGAGGGCTGGCTGCGCCATGCTTCTCACTCCTCCTTACTTCGCTCTGCCACTGCACCCCTTCAGACCCTGCACTTGGACGTCTGGTGCTCGTTGACGACTTCACGCGCTACACCACGGTGTTTCCCCTGGAGCGGAAGGCGGACGTGCCTGACATTCTTATCCCGTGGCTCGTCGCTGCGTGCCTCCACCGCGGTCTCCTTGTGCTGGGTCTCCACTCCGACCGTGGCGGCGAGTTCGCCTCTGGTCGGCTGGGTCAGTTCTGTCGTGCGGAGGGCATCACCCAGACGTACACCCTACCAGACTCCCCACAGCAGAATGGGGTCGCTGAGCGACGCATCGGTTTGGTCATGGAGGTGGCTCGTACCTCCATGATCCATGCCAGTGCACCCCATTCTCTGTGGCCGTTCGCCGTTCGCTACGCCGCTCACCAGCTTAACCTCTGGCCTCGCTCTCAACGGCCGCAGGTTTCGCCGACCCTTCTTTGGACTGGGTTCCCTGGTGACGCGTTGCATTCCACGTCTGGGGCTCCCTCGGTCACGTTCGTGCCTCCGGCACGGACAAGCTCACTGCCCGCACCGTCCCCTGTATCTTCCTCGGTTTCCCCATTGACTCGTCTGACTGGCACTTCTACCACCCGTCGTCTCACCGCTTCCTTCACTCTCGTGACGTCACTTTCGACGAGTTTGTCTCCTTTTTCCACCGCTTTCCTCACCGAGGTCTCCCAGTCCCCCCCCCCCTGTTTCTTGTTCCCACTCCCCCGGTCGCCCCTGCTCCCCTCCCTCCCCGTCCTGCTCCGTCTCGTGTGACTCACGTCACTCCCCTCCCGTCGGTTGTCCCGGTCGAGGAGTCAGCTGACTCCGGTGGCCCCGCGGCACAGTTTGCGCCGCCTGTCCCTCCCCCAGTGTCTCCTCCTCCCTCGTCGCAGTCGCCGCTGCAGCCGCCGCCGTCATCGCCGCCGCAGCCGCAGCCGTCTTAACAGCCGCAGTCGTTCGTGGACTCTGGGGGTGCTGGAGTTGGAGAGGGTGCTAGTCCTGGGGCTCATGTCGTGGCTTGTCCCGGCGAGCTCGGGGGTGGCACCGGCGTTGGAGACGTTTCTCATTCTGAGGGTGCTGGCGTGGAGTGTACCGGAGGTAGCAGTGGTGCAGCTGGTGGTCCAGGTGTTGGCGTTGAGCAACAGCAGCAGCAGTCGCCGCCGGTGTCCACCCTTTGCCTGCTCGGCCTTCCCTCCCCTGACCGCTCGCCTGCGCCTCCCTCGCCGTCTCCCCCTCTTCCTGTTCACAGTGCTGTGTTTCCCCTCTCATTCGCCTCCTGTTACTCCTCCTCTATCTCCTGACCCGACGCCTCCGTCTCACGTCTGGTCTCGCCTTCCCTCTCGTGCTCGTCCTGTCTCTCCTACTCAGCGTTCTCACCCTATGTTGCTTCGTTCCCATGCATCTCGTCCTCCCCGTTTGCCTTGCAGACTGGCCTTGTGGCTTTTCCTCCAATGGTTGGACTAGTAGTGCCGCCCTAGTTTGCTCTGTCTTGCTTGTACCCGTGCTGACTGGTCTTCGGGCCCCTGCCTCAGAGGTTGGACTAGTAGTGCCACCCTGAGGTGCGTGTTTCTTGCTCAGCACTACCCCTTATCTAGCCTAGGGGGTGTGTCAACTTATACATATATTGTTATGTAGAAGTTATAGACTAGATAGGGTATGTTATTAGTGGGTACAACCCAAACGCTATGTCTCCCATGTTCTCCCTCCTTCTAATCATTCTTTCTAGTCTTAACAGGCGGGGCTTCAGCAGCTGAGCTCGGGAGCGTGCCGCCCCGTGTAGCGCGCTGGCTGCATGAGGGCGTGCTGGTCAGCGCTAAGACGGGGCGCTGGCCGCTGCCGACCGTGCCGACAGCACCGTTACGCCGCCACGGCTCGACGTCGACGGCGCCGCCACGGCTTGACGTCGACGCCATGACAGCGCGACGCCACGGCAGCGCGTTGAGACGGCCGCGGCAGCACGACGCGGCCGGCGGCACGACGACGCCGCGTGAGCAGCACGATGCGGCCACCACGGCAGCGCGAGAGAGAGAGAGAGAGAGAGAGAGAGAGAGAGAGAGAGAGAGAGAGAGAGAGAGAGAGAGAGAGAGAGAGAGAGAGAGAGAGAGAGAGAGAGAGAGAGAGAGAGAGAGAGAGAGAGAGAGAGAGAGGAGAGAGAGAGAGAGAGAGAGAGAGAGAGAGAGAGAGAGAGAGAGAGAGAGAGAGAGAGAGAGAGAGAGAGAGAGAGAGAGAGAGAGAGAGAGGAAGAGTGCGCGGCGGAAGCATAGGAAATAGGTCCAGCAGATTGAACCTGCTCTGTTACCATGTCAAGGTAAGCTAGCTACGAAGAGGAGCCATAGAATAGCGAGAGATTTTAGGCTAGGAGAAATATCGAGAGAGAAGGGGTTTGGAATAGAAGAAAGAGGGATACAAGAAGGGGGGTTGTACCCTTTACAGTAGAATCCAGTAACACCTACCAAACCTACCATTATATATATCTCAAATATATAATTTAACAATGGTGGGGGTAGTGTGAGGGATTTTAATTACGGAGCTGTTTTGCTTTGCGCGTACACTTGGGCCCTTGGTTCGGTTCCGGAACTTAAAACCCGCGGCCCAAATTGTTCATACGCACTGCATATGAACTGTGAGCCTCGGCCTGGACGAAATACACAGAAAAATCGTGAGTGTGTTTCATGTCGCGAATTCGGGATTTGTCGTAGATCGTCCGATTTGCAAGCAGGCAGTGCGACGGCTGAGATTGCATTTCGATTGACTGGGGGAAGTACTTTACTTGCTCGCCGTTAGATGGAAATCGACAAATATTGGACGGCTAAAAAACGCGAGGCACTTGGTGTCCCAAAATACGTTCCGCTCTGAACTTGAAAGCCAGCCCCGAGTGACGCGAGTCATGTTACCCCCATCTACACCTACGAAAACGCGACTTTCAAACGCAGTGCGTTTGAAGGTCGCGCCTCGCAATTTGGGCCGCGGGCTTTAAGATCCGAACCATTGGGCCCTTACCAAACTTCCAAGCCGAGCCATCGAGACACCTCAATACCCTTCGATATCCTTCCTGATCCTTATCTTACATCGAGGATAGCTCACATGCATTGTATCGTCATTCAGTAATTCACATCTCCTTTACTTCGACAGTTCACTCATAACAACCATGGACAGACAAGCCTTACCACGAAAAAAGTTGGCGTGCTTGAGCAATGGATTTGGGTGAATTGCAGACGTGGGCTCGGGTCTGGTATAGGTTCGGGGCTGGGCTGGGATAGGTTCGAATTGTGATCCCCCCGCCTGAAACCAGCAGGACGGTTTGTCTTTCGTTTTGTGGTACATGTGCGGTTTCGAACCGGACACATCAGCATTTAGGTCCGTAAACACTGCCTTCTCAGGGCGTGGTACAATAGGGTGTGGAAGAAGAATCGTTCGAAAATACCGGTCCAAGTGGGTCGTTTGGCGAACTGGTCCAAATGCCCCGAAACGCGAATCGACGATTTTTATTTTTATTTTCGGGGCGCAAAAGAAAAAAGCCGCCCCCCACCAATTTTTACGGGAAACCGAGTGTGTGCAAAAGCGAAACGAACAGATGCCAACTTGGCAACCCCTCGCGAAGCAGTCATTCTTCGTACAACAATCAGAAACAAATCTTCCCAGATTCGCATGTTGGCGATAAATTCGACAGTGAAAACAATTATCGAGCATCTTGATTTTTTTATTAAAAAAAAATGCTGGAACGTGGGTGTGATGGTTCGGGGATCATCCTGACGTGGTGGATCGGTTTCAGGTGATTCTGAAACTCTCGCATTTGGCAAATTTCGCATTATCACTACGCGGACCGGGTAACCAATGAGTGTAGAGTCGGGATCACTTGCAACCGACTCGAAAAACGCACCGACTGTTCCACGCCCTCATTGGATCCTCACCAGTCAAATTCGCTGGTTCACTTCACCCGTCCCCGACCAAGCCCAAGCCAGACTGAATGTACCGCCATTGCAGCACATTTCTGACGAGTACAGTACTAGACTTTCAATTCAGTCAGGCAGGAAGGACTGAGCGGAATGGCATGGTGTGGGATGCATGCTGTCTCGGAGCTAGTAGTGGGGGACCAAGAGAGTGTGGTGTGAAGTCCATATACAACGGTTTAGTACGGTGCCTTATGTTGGGAAACGTTTTTGTTTTTACCGCTTTGAACCGTTAGGCAACAGTTCAGACCAGACAAGGCGAGCAAGAAGCCCACACTTGGTTCCGTCAGAAGGCATCTGGACCAAGAGGAAAGGAAACACGGTTTTATGTAAGACGCTCATAGCTTCTAATCAGTGCGGCATTCTTGCTTGTTGCCTAATTTCCTTCCTCTAAACTCTCTACTGTTTGCGATTAGCAGTCGCCGCCAGCCATGGCGTCTTTTCGACCCTAGAGGCGTTTCGAATTCGGTTCATCGTGCAGATGTTTCGCGCGAAGGTGCTCGCCTTCGCGTTTCCCAGTCGATAATGCTGCCGCTGTCGACGCTCGCAGCCGTTTCTCGCGAAGCGCTCCTTCGGCCGTCAGCACTTCGTCGTAGAGAGCAGCAGTAAGTTCGCTAAGAGCAGTAAGTTCGCTAAGAGCAGTAGGCTCGTTAGGAGCAATAAGCTGGCTTAGAGCAGAAATAAGTTCGCTCAGAGCCGTAGTAAGTTCGTTACTGGGAGCAGCCGTAAGTTTCGCTAGTAGACATATGACTACAATGTCAGTCCGCATTCGTAGGATTCGAGTCGCATTCCTTCAGAGGACGGTCGATTCTCTGTCAACGCTTCCTGAATCGCGCCGTCTGAATCGCGCCTTACCAGTGAATCGTGCTTGTGCAGATGATGAGATAGACCTATCCGTAATCGCCTAGACATACGGTTAGTCGCGGTAAGCGAAGGTCCCAACACGCATTCCGACTATCACTGCAGTTCATCGCTATCACTGACGCTCCACTGACGTTGATATCACTGACGTCTGTCGCTATCACTCACGTTTATCGCTATCACTCACGTTTATCGCTATCACTCACGTTTATCGCTATCACTCACGTTTATCTCTATCACTCACACGCGTCTCTATCACTGACGTTTATCACGAATCACTGACGTTCTACGCTCGCCGTGACGTTTATCGCTATCCCTAACGTTTTCCGTTAGCAGGAACGAGGCTCATGGCGGCGGCGGCGGTTTTCGTGATAGGGTTCGTCCTCGGGGCGGTGCTGCTGGTGCTGTGGAAATACGTCATGGACAAACGGCAGACGCTGCGCGAGAGAGAGGTCAGTGGCGCTCGGATCATAGTCGCCCTACCCAACCTGCATAACTCTTTCTGTGTCAATAGGGCTGTGTTGCTGGTGCTGTGGAAATACGTCTTGGACACACGGCAGATGGTGCGCGACAGAGAGGTCAGTACAACGGTATCGTACTAACCATAGTATTACCCCTTTCTCCCCCCAATCCCCCTCTTCTCCCCTTTCCCCCTTTCTCCCCCCAATCCCCCTCTTCTCCCCTTTCCCCCTTTCTCCCCCCAATCCCCCTCTTCTCCCCTTTCCCCCTCTTCTCCCCTTTCCCCCTCTTCTCCCCTTTCCCCCTCTTCTCCCCTTTCCCCCTCTTCTCCCCTTTCCCCCTCTTCTCCCCTTTCCCCCTCTTCTCCCCCTTCCCCCTCTTCTCCCCCTTCCCCCTCTTCTCCCCCTTTCCCATCTTCTCCCCCCTCCCCATCTTCTCCCCCTTCCCCCTCTTCTCCCCCTTCCCCCTCTTCTCCCCCTTCCCCATCTTCTCCCCCTTCCCCCTCTTCTCCCCCTCCCCCCTCTTCTCCCCTTTCCCCCACTTCCGCGCCCCCATCTCCCCTGAACAACCACATGTCGGAGATCCAAACCCCAACATTCAGTCAGCCATCCGCCCTCCCTTATCCATCCCCCCTGTCCCTTCCCCCCTGCTCCCCCGTCATCCCCCCTGCTTTCCCATGAGTGCACTGAGAGCAGTGGGCGGACATCCACTTTCTCAACGCGCCTCAACTGGCGGACGAATAATCAGCCTCTCCCCTCTCCCTTCCCCATGCCCGGCCCCCTCCCCCCTCCTCCGCCCTGTGCCTGCGAGCAGAGGGCGGACATCCACTCAATCAACGCGCATCAGCTGGCGGACAAACAATCAGCCGCTCCCCACTTCCTTCCCCATGCCCCGACCTTCCCCTCCCCCTACTCTGGCCACGCAGAGGGCGGACATCCACTTCCTCAGCGCGACTCATCAGGCGGACAAACAATCAGTCTCTCCCCACTTCCTTCCATGTTCCCCCCCTTCCCCCCCCCCCCCCCCCCTCCTCCTTACCCCCTGCTCCTCCCTGGCCGAGCAGAAGGCGGACATCCACTTCCTCAACGCGCCTCAGCTGGCGGATATTCGGGCGATCTGCCGTGAGGACACCCCCGGATGGGTGCATTTCCAGGAGTTCGAGCATGTGAGACGGGTGCATTTCCAGGGGCTTGATCATGTGAGATGGGGGCGTTTCCAGGAGTTCGAGCATGTGAGATGGGTGCATGATCAGGGGCTTGAGCATGTGAGATGAGTGCATTTCCAGGGGTTTGAGTATGTTAGATGGGTGCATTTTCATGGCTGTGGGCATGTGAGATGGGTGCATTTCTAGGGGTTTGAGCATGTGATATGGGTGCATTTCCAGGGGCTTGGGCATGTGAGATGGGTGCATTTCCAGGGGTTTGAGCATGTGAGATGGGTGCATTTCTAGTGACTTGAGCGTGTGAGATGGGTGCAATTCCGGGAGCTGGAGCATGTGAGATGGGTGCATTTTCATGGGTGTGGTCATGTGAGATGGGTGCATTTCTAGGGGTTTGAGCATGTGACACGGGTGCATTTCCAGGGGCTTGAGCATGTGAGATGGGTGCATTTCTAGTGACTTGAGCGTGTGAGATGGGTGCAATTCCGGGGGTTTGAGCATGTGAGATGGGTGCATTTTCATGGGTAGAGATGGTTATATCGCATCGCATCGCGTGATATAATATCGCATATAATCGCAAATATGCGATAGCGATATTATATTTTCCGGAAAAGAGATCGTGCAATGCGATGCGATGTAAATCTCGCTATATTTTTATATCGCGGGTTTTCCCCTGCGATATATTGCGATATGCGATATGTTTATATCGCGTGTGAAATCTGCGCGATATCTGTGCGATATCTATGCGATATGTGTGCGATAATTATGCAATATCTGTGCGACATCTATGCGAATTCCGTGCGATATTTTAAGATTGCATGCTCTTTTTAGGTGGCAATCCGGGTTTTTGGAGCCCTGGATGAAACGCGCTGCGATATTATATCGCGTCGCGCGATATATCGCATTTTCAAATGTGATATAGTCATATATCACACCTGAAATGCAATACGCAATATCGGGTTTCCAAAATTTATATCGCAGCGATGGATATAATATCTGGCGATTTTTATTGCTATCGTGGCCAGTGCGATGCGATATTATATCGCATCGCACTTTAGCCATGTCTAATCATGGGTGTGGGCATGTGAGATGGGTGCATTTCTAGGGGTTTGAGCATGTGATATGGGTGCATTTCCAGGGGCTTGAGCATGTGAGATGGGTGCATTTCCAGGGGTTTGAGCATGTGAGATGGGTGCATTTCTAGTGACTTGCGTGTGTGAGATGGGTGCAATTCCGGGAGTTTGAGAATGTGAGATGGGTGCTTTTCTAGGGGTTTGAGCATGTGAGATAGGTGCGTTTCCAGGGGCTTGAGCATGTGAGATGGGTGCATTTTCATGGTCTTGAGCATGTGAGGTGGGTGCATAATAATGGGCTTGAGCATGTGAGGTGGGTGCATTTTCAGGAATTCGAGCATGCGAGATGGGTGTATGATCAGGGGCTTGAGCATGCGAGATGGGGTTTGTTTTTACAAGCACTCTACATTTTACACAGGTGTCATCACACAAGTTCCTGCCACGTATTGACACAAATGGCACCTATCTTGTGTTCAATCAGGGGCTTGAGCATGTGAGATGGGTGTATGATCAGGGTCACACAGTAGCAGCTGCAAGGGTCAAATGGGTACATTCCCAGGAGTTTGGGCATGTGTGGTGTGAGTCTGAGCTTGTGAGATGGGAGTTTGATTTGAGCACGTGTGATGTAGGGGCTGGGTGGTTAGTAGCAGAGGCGGCTGGCAGGGTAGCAAGGGTGGCTGGCTGGGTAGCAAGGTTGGCTGGCTGGGTAGCAAGGTTGGCTGGCTGGGTAGCAATGGTGGCTGTTGCGAGGTCGGCTGGAATTGAAGGATGCTTCTCTTTAGGGGTTGGTGGTTGTGCGCTTGAATTCATTCTCATGAGTGCTTGCTCGCTGCCCTCTCTCTCCTCTTCCTTTCTCCCTCCTCTCACCTGCGTCTCGTCATGCGTCTTCTTCTCGAACAACCTTCCACTCCTCTCTGCTGCTACCCACTGCATCCCCACCCACCGCCACTCCCCCATGTCTCCCGACTCAGAGGCAGAGTATTCCCCATGTCCCCTGGGTCCCACTCCCTGGTGCTGTCAGGTGCACTGGCTGAACGATCAGCTCCAGGAGATGTGGAAGTTCGTCGACAGGGTGAGTTCACGGGCTGCGCCCATTGGGAGAGGCGGTGAGGTGAGATGGGGTGACAGGGTGAGGGGGTGAGGTGATGGAGTGAGGTGAGGGGGTGAGGTGAGGGGGTGAGGTGAGGGGGTGAGGTGAGGGGGGTGAGGTGAGGGGGTGAGGTGAGGGGGTGAGGTGAGGGGGTGAGGTGAGGGGGTGAGGTGAGGGGGTGAGGTGAGGGGGTGAGGTGAGGGGGTGAGGTGAGGGGGTGAGGTGAGGGGGTGAGGTGAGGGGGTGAGGTGAGGGGGTGAGGTGAGGGGGTGAGGTGAGGGGGTGAGGTGAGGGGGTGAGGTGAGGGGGTGAGGTGAGGGGGTGAGGTGAGGGGGTGAGGTGAGGGGGTGAGGTGAGGGGGTGAGGTGAGGGGGTGAGGTGAGGGGGTGAGGTGAGGGGGTGAGGTGAGGGGGTGAGGTGAGGGGGTGAGGTGAGGGGGTGAGGTGAGGGGGTGAGGTGAGGGGGTGAGGTGAGGGGGTGAGGTGAGGGGGTGAGGTGAGGGGGTGAGGTGAGGGGGTGAGGTGAGGGGGTGAGGTGAGGGGGTGAGGTGAGGGGGTGAGGTGAGGGGGTGAGGTGAGGGGGTGAGGTGAGGGGGTGAGGTGAGGGGGTGAGGTGAGGGGGTGAGGTGAGGGGGTGAGGTGAGGGGGTGAGGTGAGGGGGTGAGGTGAGGGGGTGAGGTGAGGGGGTGAGGTGAGGGGGTGAGGTGAGGGGGTGAGGTGAGGGGGTGAGGTGAGGGGGTGAGGTGAGGGGGTGAGGTGAGGGGGTGAGGTGAGGGGGTGAGGTGAGGGGGTGAGGTGAGGGGGTGAGGTGAGGGGGTGAGGTGAGGGGGTGAGGTGAGGGGGTGAGGTGAGGGGGTGAGGTGAGGGGGTGAGGTGAGGGGGTGAGGTGAGGGGGTGAGGTGAGGGGGTGAGGTGAGGGGGTGAGGTGAGGGGGTGAGGTGAGGGGGTGAGGTGAGGGGGTGAGGTGAGGGGGTGAGGTGAGGGGGTGAGGTGAGGGGGTGAGGTGAGGGGGTGAGGTGAGGGGGTGAGGTGAGGGGGTGAGGTGAGGGGGTGAGGTGAGGGGGTGAGGTGAGGGGGTGAGGTGAGGGGGTGAGGTGAGGGGGTGAGGTGAGGGGGTGAGGTGAGGGGGTGAGGTGAGGGGGTGAGGTGAGGGGGTGAGGTGAGGGGGTGAGGTGAGGGGGTGAGGTGAGGGGGTGAGGTGAGGGGGTGAGGTGAGGGGGTGAGGTGAGGGGGTGAGGTGAGGGGGTGAGGTGAGGGGGTGAGGGTGAGGGGGGTGAGGTGAGGGGGTGAGGTGAGGGGGTGAGGTGAGGGGGTGAGGTGAGGGGGTGAGGTGAGGGGGTGAGGTGAGGGGGTGAGGTGAGGGGTGGGTGAGGGGGTGAGGTGAGGGGGTGAGGTGATGGGGTGAGGTGAGGGGGTGAGTTGAGGGGGTGAGGTGATGGGGTGAGGTGAGGGGGTGAGGTGAGGGGGTGAGGTGAGGGGGTGAGGTGAGGGGGTGAGGTGAGGGGGTGAGGTGAGGGGGTGAGGTGAGGGGGTGAGGTGAGGGGGTGAGGTGAGGGGGTGAGGTGATGGGGTGAGGTGAGGGGGTGAGGTGAGGGGGTGAGGTGAGGGGGTGAGGTGATGGGGTGAGGTGAGGGGGTGAGTTGAGGGGGTGAGGTGATGGGGTGAGGTGAGGGGGTGAGGTGAGGGGATGAGGTGAGGGGGTGAGGTGAGGGGGTGAGGTGAGGGGGTGAGGTGAGGGGGTGAGTTGAGGGGGTGAGGTGATGGGGTGAGGTGAGGGGGTGAGGTGAGGGGGTGAGGTGAGGGGGTGAGTTGAGGGGGTGAGGTGAGGGGGTGAGGTGAGAGGGTGAGGTGATGGGGTGAGGTGATGGAGTGACACGTCTACCCTGCCTCTGATACTCTCCCTCCATCATCCCCACCAGGCCACGTCCCACGTGGTGAAGGAGGTGGTGGCGCCCGTGCTCGACAGCTACACGCCCTTGCTTTCGTCCAGCCATTCCGTGACTCACTCCCAATGCTCCCTTCCCACTCCCTTAATCCCACCGTCCACGCCACATCACACCTGGTGAAGGAGGCAGGGGAGCCCATGCTCGACAGAACAACCCCTCTGCCCCTTCCATGCGCCCCCTGCATGTGTGATTTCATACCCTCCCCCCCCCCCTTCCCCCCCCCACCCACTCTCCTACCCATCCAGGCCACATCGCACCTGGTGAAGGAGGTGGTGGAGCCAATGCTTGACAGCTACAAGCCCTCGGGAGTGTCGTCGCTTGCCTTCAAGCGCTTCAAGCTCGGCAGCAATGCCCCCAGAATAGAAGGTGGGTTGGCTGCCTGCTGCCTAGAGTAGAGGAACATCGCTATAGCTGTAGTTCAGCTCAAATTCGTTTTGAGACATCTCGTGCAGTTTGATGGACGGTGTGGGTGGGAGGGGGCTCTGAGCAGTCTGATGACCCCCCCCCTCTTGCTCGTTGCCCGTGTGTCATTCACGGCACCACAGGGGTGAAGGTGCAGCGGCTGGTGGCGCAGCAGGTGATTGTGGACATGGACGTGTGGGTGGGAGGGAGGGGGCGGTTAGCATGTAGTTCCGTCAAAGGCTCATGCCCTTTCACCTATCCATGTATCATCCCCATGTCACAGGCGTGAAGGTGCAGCGGCTGGTGGCGCAGCAGGTGATTGTGGACATGGACATGTGGGTGGGAGGGAGGGGGCGGTTAGCATGTAGTTCCGTCAAAGGCTCATGCCCTTTCACCTATCCATGTATCATCTCCATGTCACAGGCGTGAAGGTGCAGCGGCTGGTGGCGCAGCAGGTGATTGTGGACATGGACGTGTGGGTGGGGGGGGGGTCGTCCATCATCCTCGCCATCGCCAGCATGGGCGTCAAGATGCACGTGCAGGTGGGAGGGAGCGTAGGTGAGGATGCAGGCCTCTAGGGCGAGGATGCACGTGCAGGTGAGTCAAGATGCCCGTGCAGGTGCGTCAAGATGCACATGCAGGTGAGTCAAGGTGCACATGCAGGTGAGTCGAGATGCACGTGCAGGTGAGTCAAGATGCACGTGCAGTGCAGGTGAGTCAAGATGCACGTGCAGGTTAGTCAAGATGCCCGTGCAGGTGAGTCAAGATGCACATGCAGGTGAGTCAAGATGCACATGCAGGTGAGTCGAGATGCACATGCAGGTGAGTCAAGATGCACGTGCAGGTGAGTCAAGATGCACGTGCAGGTGAGTCAAGGTGCAGGTGAGTCAAGGTGCACATGCAGGTGAGTCAAGATGCACGTGCAGGTGAGTCAAGATGCACATGCAGGTGAGTCAAGATGCACGTGCAGGTGAGTCAAGATGCACATGCAGGTGAGTCAAGATGCACGTGCAGGTGAGTCAAGATGGACGTGCAGGTGAGTCAAGGTGCAGGTGAGTCAAGGTGCACATGCAGGTGAGTCGAGATGCACGTGCAGGTGAGTCAAGATGCACGTGCAGGTGAGTCAAGATGCACATGCAGGTGAGTCGAGATGCACGTGCAGGTGAGTCAAGATGCACGTGCAGGTGAGTCAAGATGCACGTGCAGGTGAGTCAAGGTGCAGGTGAGTCAAGATGCACATGCAGGTGAGTCAAGATGCACATGCAGGTGAGTCGAGATGCACATGCAGGTGAGTCAAGATGCACGTGCAGGTGAGTCAAGATGCACGTGCAGGTAAGTCAAGGTGCAGGTGAGTCAAGGTGCACATGCAGGTGAGTCAAGATGCACGTGCAGGTGAGTCAAGATGCACATGCAGGTGAGTCAAGATGTCCGTGCAGGTGAGTCAAGATGCACATGCAGGTGAGTCAAGATGCACGTGCAGGTGAGTCAAGATGCACGTGCAGGTGAGTCAAGGTGCAGGTGAGTCAAGGTGCACATGCAGGTGAGTCGAGATGCACGTGCAGGTGAGTCAAGATGCACGTGCAGGTGAGTCAAGGTGCAGGTGAGTCAAGGTGCACATGCAGGTGAGTCGAGATGCACGTGCAGGTGAGTCAAGATGCACATGCAGGTGAGTCGAGATGCACGTGCAGGTGAGTCAAGATGCACATGCAGGTGAGTCAAGATGCACATGCAGGTGAGTCGAGATGCACGTGCAGGTGATTCAATGAAGATGCACGCACGTGCAGGTGATTCAAGATGCACGTGCAGGTGAGTCAAGATGCATGTGCAGGTGAGTCGAGATGCATGTGCAGGTGAGTCAAGATGCACATGCAGGTGATTCAATCAAGATGCACGTGCAGGTGATTCAAGCTGCATGTGCAGGTGAGTCGAGATGCACGTGCAGGTGAGTCAAGATGCCCGTGCAGATGAGTCAAGATGCGCATGAGCAAACGGCCCGGACGGGCCGGGTCGGATCGGACCGGACCGGAATTTTCCCGGGACGGGCCGACACTCTGAAGGGTCCCGGCCTGTCGGGCTGGTCCGGGTAGACATGGGCACAAGCCGAGCCACACCTGGCTCGGCTCGGCTCGCCTTGCCTTTAAGGCGAGCCGAGCCTTCTTTTTTGGTACCCGGCTCGACTCGGCTCGCGAACGTGAAATCAGGCGAGCCGGAGTCGAGCCGGCTCGAGCTGGCTCGATTTCGAGCCAGCCGGCTCGCGGCTAGGGAAAGGGGGGTTTCGCGACTGTCAAATTTTAGATCGACAACCCCCCCCCTGCCAATATTGTCTGCCAACCCTAACCTCACCCTGTCGCGCTAGTCTATCGACCTCAGCCAGCCATATTTAAACCGGCAGCTCCTCCTGATAGTTTTGTAAGATGTAGGAGCAGACGATCAGCTAAATAATATGGATTATCCCCTATACTAGAGACCCCAAACCCCGTGGCCCCAATTGAGAGCCCGCACAAGCCCCTCTGACGAGCCGAGCCGAGCCGGCTCGCCGGCGAGCCGGGCCCGGCTCGACCCCATTTTCACGAGCCGAGCCAGGGATCCTGAGGACCCGGCTCGAGGCGAGCCGAGCCAGGCTCGGCTCATGCCCATGTCTAGGTCCGGGTATGGCCCGCCGGGCCGGGCCGGGCCGGGCCGCCGGCCCGACGAGGTCATTCAAGTCGGGCTGGGCGTCGTCAGGCTGGTTGGCCCAAATTCGGCCCGTTTGGAGGGCGGGCCGGCCCGGCCCGCCCCCCGGGCCAGGGTTGGCCCGGGTCTAAAAACCCGGGCCGGGCCAGGAAGTCTGAGAAACCGGCCCGGGTCGGTTTCTAGTCGAGCCGACCCTAAACCGGGCCGGGCCGTTGCTCATGTCTACACGTGCAGGTGAGTCGAGATGCACGTGCAGGTGAGTCAAGATGCACATGCAGGTGATTCAAGATGCACATGCAGGTGAGTCAAGATGCTTGTGCAGGTGAGTCGAGATGCACGTGCAGGTGAGTCGGGATGCCCGTGCAGGTGAGTCAAGATGCACGTGCAGGTGCAGTCCCCAGGCCTGTAGGGCTAGGATGCACGTGCAGGTGAGACTCTGTCCCTTATAGCTCATCAGTCCCTCCCCGCCTCGTCTCTCCCCTCCCTCACACACAGCTCAAGGACCTGGGGCTGCTAGTGAGGCTGCGACTCAACCCTCCCTCCACCCCTCACACTCCCTCCCCCTCCTCCGCCCTCACTGTCTCTCCCGCTGTCCCCCATGCAGCTCAAGCATCTGGAGGTGCGGGCAAGGCTGCGGCCCAACCCTCCCTCACACCAGTCTTATTCCCTTCCCCTCCCCCCTCTCTCCCCCCTCTCTCCCCCTCTCTCCCCCCTCTCTCCCCTATCTCTCCCCCCTCTTTCCCCCCTCTGTTCCCCATCTCTCCCCTACCCCTCCCCCATCTCCGTCCCATCCCTCCCCCATCTCTTCCCCCACTCTCCCCCCTGTCTCCCCTCTCTCTCCCTCATCTCTCCCCCCTCTCTCCCCCATCTCTCCCCCCTCTCTCCCCAATCTCTCCCCCCTCTCTCCCCCATATCCCCCCTCTCTCCCCCATCTCCCCCCCTCTCTCCCCCCATCTCTCCCCCCTCTGTCCCCTCTCTGTCCCCCCTCTCTCCCCCATCTCTCCCCCATCTCTTCCCCATGTCTCCGCCCTCTCTCCCCCCTCTCTCCCCCTTCTCTCCGCCCTCTCTCCCCCTTCTGTCCCCTCGCAGCTCAAGGACCTGGAACTGCGGGCGAGGCTGCGCCTCATCCTTCAGCTGGGCGAGCAGCTGCCATGCATCGATGCCGTCGTCATCTCCATCAACAAGAAGGTAACACAGGGGTGGCTGAAGGTCTCGGTGATGTTAATACCATGGACTAACGGCAACAGAGCACAGGCAAGCACGCACAGCAGCTGCCGCCATGCATCGATGCTTTCGCCATCATCTCCATCAGCACAAGAAGGTGAGATAGCCCTAAACCCGAAACCCCGAAACCTAAGCCTGCTCAACGGACAGGGTCCGGAACAGTTGGTGGCGTGCATTTTCCCTGCATCGATCCTACTGCGACTTCCCCCCCAATTCTAACCCCCCCCTTCTCCTCATCATACTCTCCCCTTGAATCTTTGCTCTGCATGCTGCTGAGGGTCCAATAGTACACCAAATAGGTGCCATTGTGTCAATACGTGGCAGCAACTGTATGATGACACCTGTGAATGTAAATTCGTAGAGTGTTTGTAAAGACTCTTGGAATTAGAAAATGGTGGTAACCGGTCTCGGCTCGAAGCCTTCTTCAGACCACAGAGTCCTAAAGAAAACAAGCACTACTTATACGCCTAAAGGATGTCGCCCAAGATTCATCCCGCCCGGGGAAACTGTCGCGGAGAAAATGGGGACGTAGCAAAAAACGAAATAAGCACGAACAGTAAAACTCTACTGTATACTAGCACTTATGAGGAGAAACTAGAAAATTCCCGATTCTCTTCGGCAACCTCCGCGTGATAATAGCTCTCCTTGAAGGGAAAGTGTTGTGTGACATTGTAACGAGGGGACTTTTGAGTCGACTCAAAAGTTTCCCCAAGTGTGAGCTTGAGCAACCAACGGTCAACCAACGGCTTGAGCAAACATTTCAACACAAGGGGCCCACGTTTAGGAGAATCGCGAAATGAGGAGGCGCGAGTTAGAAGTTCGTTGCGAGAGGCGAAAGAAACTGACGTGAAGACTGGTAGCAGAAATTTATCAGGATACCCTCTGGCTCTTAGGCGAGCAAAGAAAAGGGCTCTGGAATTCAGGAAGTCAGTGCGAGATGAAGACCGCAGCAGAAATCTGTGCAGTTCGCTCCGGATGAAACCAAGCTTGGTAGTCCGGGAATGATAAGACCTGTAGGTCTACAGATTCATCGGCTTGAATTACCGATTCATCGGCTTCTGAAACAACTTGACATCCAGAACCCCGGAATTCTTGAAAGGTTCCCCTTTGAAGAAGGTCACGTCCAGAAAATCCATTGTAATTTCGGACAGCAACCATGTCAGGCGAATTGAAGGATGAAGCGTGTCGAAACGCGCTTTTAGCCATTGAAAATCCTCCCTCGACCCCTCCCACAAAATCAAACCGTCATCAATGAAGCGGAGGTGTAGAGCGGGGGAAGAAGGGAGGTGTAGAGCGGCGGAAGCGTCATACTCTCCCCTTGAATCTTAGCTCTGCATGCTGCTGAGGGTGCAAGCTGAAGGCTGTTAGCGAGTTGTCAGTCGCCTTCTCATCATCTGCCACCGGCCTTCTCATCATCTGCCACCGGCCTTCTCATCATCTGCCACCAGCCTTCTCATTATTTCTCCCCGATCCCCCATTACCTTCGAAATCATTGTCTTTGACCCCCCCCTCCCCCCACCTTCCCCTGTTTCCTCAGCCGCGCCTGCGCATCGACTACAAGCTGAAGGCCATAGGAGGGCAGCTGTCGTCGATCCCAGGGCTAGCGGGGATGATCGAGAGCACGGTGCAGGGCGCCATCGAGAGCACTCTGCTGTGGCCCGAGCGCATCGTCATGCCCCTCGCTGACGCATTCGATGCCAGGTGAGGGACTCTCCCATTCCAATTTCCACGGCTCACAGATTGCCGCATTCCGTGCCAGGCGAGTGCCCTTTTTGAGGCGCCTCACAAAATGACAGTTTCCATGGCAGGTGAGAGACTCTCCTGCGCCCCCTGCCCCTTATCTCTCCCTTCGTGCTGCGACTCTCATCACCCTCCCTCCTCCCCCGCTTCCCCTTTGACCCCTTCCCCAGAAGCATGCCCACGGTCTAGAGGGCGAGGGAAAGTTCCCAAGCCCTCTGAGAAATGGTGCCCTGTGCACTGGGTGCAGTGGAAGTGATACGAAGCGCAGTGGACGGCGTAAGCATCTCCAGCCCCTTTTGTTGTCCTCTGAACACATTCCAAGCAACCCCTCCCCCTCTCCCTCCCCCTCCCATATCCTACCCCTCAGCGCCCTTGAAATGGCCTGTGAAGGCTCCCTAGTGGTAGCAGCGTGCAGGGCGGAGGGGCTGACGAACGTGGATGGATGTGATGAGCCAGTCGGCCGCCTTTGCCATCCTCTGGACTTGACGCACTCCCTCTTTGCCTTCGCCATCCCCTGGACTTGACGCACTCCCTCTTTGCCCTTGCCATCCTCTGGACTTGACGCACTCCCTCTTTGCCTTTGCCATCCTCTGGACTTGACGCACTCCCTCTTTGCCTTCGCCATCCTTCGCCCCCTGCCCTGTTTGCCAGCTCGTTCGAGATGTTCTAAGAAGGCTCCCTGGTCATCACAGCATGGAGGGCGGATGGGCTGATGAACGTGGATGGATGTGATGAGCCAGTCGGACCCCTTTGCCATCCTCTGGACGCACTCCAAGCACCCCCTACCCCCACCAACTCTCCCTCGTACCCCCTCCCCTGTCCGACCCCTCAGCTCTCTTGAAATGTTATATGAAGGGTCGTTGGTGATAACTGCGTGGAAGGCGGAGGGTTTAAAGAACGTGGACATGATGAGCAAGTCGGACCCGTTTGTCATCCTGTGGACGCACTCCAAGCACAAGGCCGTCACCCGGACCATCGACAACGACCTCAACCCTGTCTGGAACGAATCTTTCGAGCTGCCCGTGGACGACATCCACACAGCAGAGCTCTTCATTCAGGTGGGCTTTCCTTCCAAATGGGCTTTCTCCTTTTCTGCTTCTCCTTTTCTTTTGTCCTCTGCTGCTTCTCCCTTCGTCTGTTCCTCTGACGTGTAGCACCATGCAGTGCCGTGCAGCACCGCGCAGCACCGTGCAGCACCGTGTAGCACCATCCCTGTTCTCCTCGTTCCCTTTGCTCCCATGCTGCCAATCCTCCTCTGTGTGTGTCTCCACAAGGTGGAGGACGAGGATAGCTTTGGAGAAATATGATTTCTCATCGTTCCTCCTCTCCATAACTCCCTCTTTGTACTCCACTCTCTGTAACTCCCTCGCTGTAAATCCCCCCTCCATAACCCCTCCTCCATAACCCCCCCTCCCTAACTCCCCCTCCCTAAACCCCCCTCCCTAACTCCCCCTCCGTAAACCCCCCACCATAACCCCCCCTCCATAACTAGAGATGGTTATATCACATCGCATCGCACGATATAATATCGCATATATTGCAAAAATGCGGTAGCGATATTATATTTTCTAGGAAAAATATCGCACGATGCTATGCGATGTAAATCGCGCGATATTTTTATATTGCGTTTATATTGAATGTTTTCCCCTGCGATATATTGCGATATGTGATACGTTTATATCGCATGTGATATCTGTTCGATATCTGTGCAATATCTATGCGATATCCGTGCGATATTAAATTGCATAGCGCGATGTATTGCTTTCTTATTACGATATGAAAATACATAGACTGGAAATGCGCTATGCAATACCTGTTTTGGAAATTTATATTGCAGCGATGCGATATAAAACGCGATAGCAGCAAGTGCGATGCGATATTAGATTGGATCACGTTTTAACCATGTCTATCCATACCCCCCCCTCCGTAACGCCACAGGTGGAGGGCGAGGATAGCTTCGGGAGTGAGATAGTGGGGAACGCCATGTACCCCTTAGTGGAGCTGCTCTAATCAAGGACACAGCTTTGAAACGCCTAGATAATGCATGTGCCCCTCCCTTCCATGTGCCTGTCCCATGTACCCTGATGGCGTCAATGTTCTCTCATTCCCTCATCTCCCAGGTGGAGGACGAGGACAGCTTCGGGAGCGAGAACCTGGGGTACGCCATGTACCCCTTAGTGGAGCTGCTCAATAAGGACACAGTGCAGACGGTGACGCTGACGCTGCTGCCGAAACTCAACAACGACCGCATGCTGGGCATCGACCACAAGCTGGGGCACATCACTCTGCAGGTGGGGGGGGAGGGGAGGAGGGGGAGTGAGTGAGCGGGTGAGTGAGTGAGTGGGTGACTGGGATCGACCACAAGCTGGGGCGAGGGGAAAAGGGAGGAGAGAGAGGGAGTGAGTGAATGGGGTTCGACCACAAGCTGTGAAGAATAACTCTGCATGTGGGGAGAGATAAGGAGGAGAGTGAGTGATCGAGCGATTGGGATGGACCACAAGCTGGGGCAAATCAGTTTGCAGGTGGGGGGAAAAGTGGGGATTAGATGCTTTTTTCCCCTTGCAAGTTGCATGGCAGATGCTACACCAGAACCACACCCCAGAATCTAAGATAGGACCACTGCTCAGCCACATACTCGTTGAGTATACTTCAAAGTCAGCTCCATTCCCCTCCCCCCCGGGCTCCCCCCCTGCATCACCGCAGATGGTGTACCGCGACTACACCCCAGAGGAGAAGGTGCTCGTGACAGCAGCAGAGAAGGCCCGAGACCCCAAGGCCAGGGACTGCCCTCTCGCCCCGGATGCAGCCCAGCGGGCCTTTGCCACCGCCCTCCTTTCTGCCCGCCAGCGCAAGCTCGCCCTCGCCTCCCAGGCCAAGCGCTCGGTCCGCTTCGTGCCTCAGGCCTCTTCTGGCGTGGGTGCCTGTGAGCGGGGTGGTGAGATGCAGGGAGAGGGGGATGGGAGTGGGTGGGTAGGAGGGGAGGCGGGTGGCGGGAGTGGGAAAGGGGAGAAGGGTGGGAGCGGCAGCAGCGGCTCTTGGTGGTCCTGGTTTGGAGTCGGTGGGAGGGCTGAAAGCCGCAGCAGCGAAGGAGGCGGTGCTGCTGCTGCTGCTTCTGGTGCTGATGGTACTGCTGCTGCTGCTGCTTCTGCTACTGCTGCTGCTGCTGCTGCTGCTGACGAGAACGGGGATGGGGACGTGGACAGTGAGGGTGCTGACAGTGGCAGCAGTGGTTACGGGACCCTGACTCCTAAAACGGGCATTCCTGCTCGTGTAGTGGGGGCCGGCAGCACCTGGACCACCAGCAGCAGGGGGCTGCGTCGGCTGGTGAAGAGGAGCGAGGGCGAGGGCAGTGGGAAGTCTTTGTGGGGACCGCTCATGGGGTGGGTGGGCAGCCAGAAGGAGAGAGCGGGCAGCGGAAAGGAAAAGGCAGGCAGGAAGAACGGCGGTGAGGGGGGGTGGGATCTGGTGACTGATAGTGTGGTGGGATCCGTGAGTGGACGGAATTTGAAGAGGAGTCTGCAGGTGTCTCGGACGTTGAGGAGAGAGGAGGGAGAGGGAGCGGAGGGAGGAGGAGAGGAGTGGGAGGATGAAGGGGATCGGGAAGAGGAGTCGGAGGATGAGGGGTCTCCATGTTTGGAAAACGGAGTCGAACCTGGAAGGTTGGATGGGGAGGAGGGTAGTGTGGAGGGGAGGGAGCGTGGCAAAGGCGAGGTGAGAGGGGGGGTTGAGAGGGGTGGGGCAGAGGAGTGTGTGAAGCAGGGTAGTGGAGAGGAGAGGGGAGATGGAAGAGGGGGAGAAGAGGGAGACGAGGGAGAAGAGGGAGCAGGTCTGCAGCCGCACGAGGGAGAAGGCGTGCTGCGGCACGAGGGCTTGGAGGGGGCAGCCGTTGCAGACGGCATGGCAACGGCTGCAGACGAGGGTCGGGCAGACGGCAGTGAAGAATGCAGAGAACGGGGCAGTGAGGAGGAGGAAAGGGCTGAAGGCAACGATGGGCAGCTGGGCCAAGGGGTAGCTTTGGAGTCGTCTCAAATGCAAGGGGTAGCAGGGGTAGCAGGGGTAGTAGGGTTAGTTGTTCCAGCGAGGAAGCAACAGCTGAGGAGCTTCCTGCTGGGGGCGATGAAGGAGAGGAGGGCGACAAGGGATGGGCCCAGGAGTGCGGGGCGTAGCATTGACTTGACTTCTAGTTTTGAGAGGTTTCGAATCGAGAGGAACGGTCGCCCTAGGAGTGCACAGCCTAGCGTGGACTTCACATCTAGCTTTGAGAAATCTCGAAACGAGAGGAGGAATCGGCCTAGGAGTGCACAGGCTAGCATGGACTTTGCGTTTGCTGCTGACGCTGGTGGTGGTTGTGGTGGTGGTGGGATGCGGAGTCGGAGTGGAGGGGAGGGCAGGGGGTTGAGAAAGGGTGGCGGGTGGGATCTGGCGATGGGGAGTGTGGTGGAATCGGTGAAAGAGCGCGAGTTCAGGAGGAGCCTGCAGGTGTCGCGGAAATGGAGGAGAGAGGAGGGAGGAGAAGAGGCAGAGGACGATGAGGGGGATGGGGAAGTGGAGTGGGGGGGTGGGGGAACTTTCGGTCAGGAGGATGGAGAGGGTATTGGGGGAAGTGCGGAGGGGGGACGTGGGGAGGGGGGAAGTGTGGAGAGGGGACGTGCGGAGGGGGGAAATGCGGAGGGGGGACGTGGGGAGGGGGGAAGTGCGGAGGGGGGACGTGCGGAGGGGGGAAGTGCGGAGGGGGGACGTGCGGAGGGGGGAAGTGCGGAGGGGGGACGTGCGGAGGGGGGAAGTGCGGAGGGGGGAGGTGCGGAGGGGGGACGTGGGGAGGGGGGAAGTGCGGAGGGGGGACGTGCGGAGGGGGGAAGTGTGGAGGGGGGACGTGCGGAGGGGGGAAGTGCGGAGGGGGGACGTGGGGAGACGGCAGGGGGTGATCAAGGGGCAACTGTGGAAGGGACAGGCGAGGAGGGGGATGAGGAGGAGCAGGGGCGGGAAAGCAGGGTAGAAATTGGAGAAGGCGAGGAAACAGAGGGGCTGGAGAGGCCTGTAGCAGAGGGAGGTACAGAAGAGGGCAGGATAGCTATTCCGGTGAGAAAGATAGAGCTTCGGAACCTGCTGCTAAGAGCGCTCAAGGAGAGGCGAGACGGGCCCAGCAGTGCACGGCTTGGCAGTGACTCTGCTGCCGGTGCTGCCGGTGCTGCGGGTGGTGGTAGTGGGAGAGGTGGGGAGGGCAGGGGGTTGTGGCGGCGGTGGGATGCGCTGATGGAGTCCGCACAGACTTCCAGATCTGTGGCTAGTGGTAGCGCCGCTGCTGCTGCTGCTGTTGCTGCTGTTGATGCCGCTGCCGCTTCCGGGGATTCGAGCGTCGATTCTCCTGCTGCTGCCAGGGCTGCTTCTTCTGGCGTGTCTTCGATTGTGACAGCTGTGGAGAGTGCAGGTGCGGGTGTGGCATCGACTGTGTCGGCTGTCGGGAGTGCAGTGGGGAGTGCAAGTGCAGGTGTGGCCTCAGCAGTGGGAAATGCTAGTGCTGGGGTAGCGTCGACTGTGACGGCCGTTGGGAGCGCTGTGGGAAAGAGGTCTTTCAGTGGGGTCGCGAAGGCCGTGGACAGGGGGCGAGCTTTCGGTCAGGCTTTGACGAGCCTAGCGGATAGAGGCCTACCTGGGAAGGGTTCATCTGGGAAAGGGCTGGCTGGTAAGGGCCTTGGTGGTAAGGGATTAGCTGCTATGGGGCTTGCTGCTACAGGTCAGATTGGTGGAGGGCATGTGCGCAGTAAGACTTTAGAAGATGTGATCCGCTTTGATGAGAATGAGGCAGAGGAGCCGCGAGGTGAAATAGGGGGGCAGGGAGACAAAGCGGCCTCTTGCAGAGAGATTGAAGGATGTGGAGAAGTGTGTGGATGTGAAGGAGATGGGCAGAGGGGGCTGATCTCGGAGTGTGATGTGAGGGCGAAGAGTTTCGCGGGGCTCAGGGATGGGTTGAGTAAAGAGGAGGAGTGTGAGGGGTTGCGAGAGGGAGAGGGGGGCGAGGGGAGGAGTGTGGAGGCAGCAAGCAGCGATGCGAGGAGTCAGAGGAGTCAGAGGAGCGTTGGTGTGGGTGGAGAAGCGGAGGAAAGAGAGAGGGAGTGCGAGGAAATGAGAGGGCATGCATCCGCGGCCTGTGCTGATGCGGATGTTGGCAATGGTGAGAGAAGGGTGGAGTGCTCCGGGGCAGGTGAAAGCAGGGAGGTCAGCAGGGGTGCTGATTGTGCAGGGGCACGCGGGCTGGTAGAGGGTGATGGAGATTTGAGAGGGGAGGGAGAGGGGGGCGGGGAGGAGGTGGGGGAGAGGGTGAGGGAAAAGCGGGGAGAGCGGGGCGAATGTATTGGTGAGAGAAGTGTGGAGAGTGTGGCTGCGAGATGTGAGGAGAATGGGGTTGTGAGAAGTGAGGGAAGGGACGAGGACGAAGGTAACGGATTGGGGAGGGGCGAAGGCAATGGGGAGCACAAGGGAGAGGGAGAAGGAGGGGGTACTGGGGACGGTAGCATTGATGGCACGACTGGACGCCACACAGCAGCTGCAGAGAGGCTCGAAGAGGCAGAGCAGACTCGCAGTGAACAGATGAGCAGAGAGCAGGCGAGCAGCGAGTGCAAGGAAGAAGGGAGCAGTGTGGGTGAGAAGGGTCAAGGGCAGGGCGGCAAGGCTATGTGGAGAGGAGAGGAGAATGGAGAGAAGACGGGAGGAGAAGCAGAGGAGAAGAGAAGGGCAGGAGACGAGGAAGAAGTGAGTAGGAGGGGAGAAGAGGAGGACAGGAGAAGGGTAGGTGAAGAGGAGGAAGGGAGAAGGGTAGGAGATGATCCCTTGGAGCGGGGTTGGCAGCATGAAGAGGAAGCAGCAGAGGGCGCAGCAGCAGAGGATGATGAGGGAGCGGCTGGAAGTGCCCCCGCACTCCCCGCTCTGCCGTTGAACCCCGTGGGGGCGTGGGGGGGTGCGTGGCTGGATGCAGCTGTACTGGGCGTGGGCCGTGCGGCGGGGAAGGTTGCAAAGCGCAGTAGTGGGGTGGGCTCTGGACGGCTGGCGGGGGATGGGGAGAGGAGGGAGGGGGGCGGACAGGCAGCTCTCGAGTCGACTCAAAAGTCACCACAGAGGGGTGGGTCGAGGTCTAGACGGCTGGTGGGGGATCTGGAGTGGAAGGAGGAGGGAGGGCAGGCGGGTGGAGAGGCTGCAGAAGCAGCGAGAGAAGAGCGGCGGAAAGAAGACCCGCTCCCTGCTGCTGCCACTGCTGTGTCTGCGGCGGCCTCTGTCCTTACCGCCCACAGCCCTAAATCTGCAGCCGCAGTGGCAGCGGCAGCGACAAATGGGGCAGCAGCAGGTGGAGGGAGGGAGCTAGTGAAGCAGCCGGCCGTTCCCATCCCTGTGCGCACAGCTGCAGCTGAGGGGGCTTCTGAGTCGATTCAAAAGTCACCCAAGCCCCCGGGCATTCCCATCCCCAACTCGATCCCCGAGCGCACAGCTGCAGCTGTGGACCTCGTGGCCTCCGCCCGCACCCCCTCCTCTGGCTCCGGCCGGATCCCCCTCTCCTCGCTCCCTTCCCCTCGCTTCATTAGTAAAATCTTGGGAGCCACTAGCCCCAGTCAATCGAAGGACAAGGTGACCAATCCAGCCAACGACCCCAGTCAGTTGGATCGTCAGAACACGGAGCCCTTAAGCCGCCCTGCTCAGGCGAGGCGGCGCACCAAATCGTTTGAAGATCTGGATGATATGGTTTGTGGAGACGACATCAGGGACGAATCCGGACCGTTGGATGGAGTTGATCTTCATGTTTGGCCAAAATCGATCAGTCGACAACGGAGCGCTGAAAGATCAGCTCCAGACGGGGCATCCCGAGGAGGTTTAGGTTCCGGACGGCTAGGATTAGGAGGGTTAGGCTATTCAATTTCTGAACGAATAGGCATGGGGGCGTCAAGTTTGGAGGGCTCAAGCCCAAGCCCTAATAATGAGGGCCTTGGGGGAAGGTCTTTGAGCAAAGGGAAGGGGAAGGTGTCATGGGGGTTTGCCAAAGGTGTGGGGCGGGCGTTGAGGGGCATGAAGGGCGGCGCCAAATGTGCTTATTCCCCGGAGGAACTGAGGGATCGGTTGGAGGACAGGAGAGCGGAGATGGAGGAGAGTGGGGAGATGGAGGGGTAACGCATGGGGGCAAGGAAGGATACATGATTTGTAGGTAATTTTGTAGGTGTAGGCAAAATTATATGTATGTACGTACTTTTGGTGGCAGCTTTTGTAACACATTCGTTCCTCAGCTTGTCAGGGCGAGATAAATTTTGAGCGTAACGGTTTCCACGTTTAGCGGATCGGAGCAGCGGGCGAGGGTGATGCTTGCGTTGACTCAAAAGCGGGGGAATGCGCGGTGGCGTTGCGCGGTGGCGTTGCGCGGGGCGACGGAGTGCTAGGAGGAGGCTACTCTTGAGTCGACTCAAGGGAGAGGGGGGGGAGAATGCGACGGAGCGACGGAGTGGCCGGAGGCGGAGGAGACGTGAGCTGGGAGGGCGAAGGGCGTCGAGAAGGGGGGGGGGCGTTACCCGCAGTAGGAGAAAAGAGAGGTGGGAGGGATGGCGGGGGAGAGAGAGGGAGAGGGGGAGGTGTTAGCGACAAAGGCGCACCAGGGGGAGGGAGCGAAGGGGAAGGGAGCGACAAACGAGGAGAAGACGCCAAAGGAGCACCAGGGGGACTCAAGGTGGCGTCATGTGGTGGCGTCGCCATATCCGCGAACGACGTCACGATGTCAGCAGATGACGTCACGATGTCAACAAATGACGCCAGGATGTCAGTGCATGACGTCATGGGTCTCCTGTTCTCCCTAGACCCTCTGCTGGCCCGTGCTGCTGCCGTTACTCTCAGCGACGCCCTGCTCTCGCCCACCCTCTCTGTATGCTCTCGCCCTACCGCCCTCCGCCTCTCCGTCTGACTCTTGAAAGGCGGAGCATGTTACTCTCAGCGACGCCCTGTTTTCGCCCACCCTCTCTGTATGCTCTCGCCCTGCCGCTCTCCGCCTCTCCGTCTGCCTCTTGAGACGCTGAGCGCGCTACTCGCGACTCAACGACGCCCTGCTCGCGCCTACGCTCTCTGTGTGCGCCCCCTTTGGCCGTCCATGCTCCCTTACACACCCTCCCTCTGCTGGCGCCCGTGCTGCCTCCACCGTCACTCGCCTCACTGTCTGCTCTGCTAGTTTGCACGCACGTGAACCCCGATTAACGTTATTTCGTCTAGCCTCTTCTCTCGCTCGTCTTCCAACGAGTAGTCCCTGCGTTCCTCGCTTGCCTCGCTTTCCTCGCTTTCTCCCCCCTCTCCGTCCGTGTCCCAAATCACATCGCTCCCCTCCCCCCACCCCCCAACCTCGCCTCCCTCTCCCTCTCTCCTGCAGAGCAGCACGCGGCAGCAGCAGCCGTGTTGACTCAATGCTGGCAGGCCACCGTTGCTGCTATCGCTGTTGCTGCTGCCGGCTCTGCTGCCAGCAATACCGCCGCTGCCACTGCTTTTGATAACGCTGCTGCTGCCGATAGTGCCGGTACTGCTAGTGCTGCCGGTGCTGCTGGTCCTGCCGGTGTTGCTGCTGTTGCAGGAGGTCCTGTCGGTGCTGCCGGTGCTGCTGGTCCTGTCAGCGCCTCTCCCCTCTGCACCTCGCGTCACTGCACCACACCCCATGGCACCTCCTCCGCAGACACCACCTGCCCCAGTGGACCCCTCCCCCTGACCTGCCCACCCTCCCCTGCCCTGCGCTGCTTGCTGCTCCGCGCCTCTCCTCCGGCCTGCCCACCCCCTGTGCCACCTGCAGCAGTGGGAGAGGCTTTTGGGAGCAGTATTGAACCATGCGCGGCTGTGGTTGCAAGGCCACGCGCGTTGGTGAGTCCAGCACCATGCGGTCCAAAGACACTAGAAGCAGGAGTCCCAGCAGCACTCTCACTAGCACGGTTGCCTTCACAGCGTGTCCCCTGCGCTGCCCCTGATGAGACGACTCAGACCGTGGCAGTCCCCTGTGCGGCCCTCTCTCTCTTCCACTCCCTGCTCAAACGCCGCCTCCACTCACCACCGCACCCTCTTTTCCCCCAAACGTCTCCCACGCGCCTCTCCTCCCTTGGTTATGCGGCCGCCCACTCCCTCCTGCACGCCACGCCATGGCTCGCCCTCTCTCGCCTTTTAAGCTCAACTGATTCGAGAGATCTCTCCTTGCAGCAGCAGCAGCAGCAGGGACACATTGGGAAGCAGGGCTCATTAGCGGCAGCAGCAACAGAAACAGGAGCAGCAGCAGCAGCAGCAGCAGCAGCAGCAGCAGCAGCGGCAAGAGCACAACTGGCAGTGGAATGGTTGACTCGCTTGCTGTCCGCCTGTGTCGGGGCAGTCAATGGTGACGATCTTGGTGGCGGCTCTGCTGGTGATGACGGCAGCAGCAGCAGCAGGAGCAGCAGCAGCAGGAGTGGCGAAGGTGGTAATGGTGACAGTGGAAAGAACGAGGGCAGTAGCCGGGCGCACCGCACAGTGTCTGTTGAATGCATGCTGCCCGTGGTGCGTGCTTGGACGTCTCACTGCTTACTGCCGCTTCTAGCCCGTGCCCCATCAAGCATCCATGGCCCATCTGACAGCCAAAGGCGTGCCACCTACCTTCACCATAAATCCCTTGTAATACCTCGCCCTCTCCCTTGTAATACCTCGCCCTCTCCCTTGTAATACCTCGCCCTCTCCCTTGTAATACCTAGCTCTTCCCCCTCCCCCCTTCATCCCCCGCCCCCTTTCCCTCTTGGAAAATTGTGTTTTTTTGTTCCTCAATTCTTTGCAACACTTTAATGCGCCTATCCGCTGCCCTCACACACACTCTCTCTTCATTCACCTCGCACTCTCCTTCCCCCACCACACCCCCCGAAGGCTCCTTTCAGAAATTGCTGCTCCGGTGCGCCCCTCTCCTCCCCTCGCACCCCCCTCTCTCTCGCACCTTCCTCGCCTATCTTTCCGCCCTCCTCCCCCACACACTCTCTTTCACCGCCTCTCAAGCCCCGCCCTCCTGCTGGCCCTTCTACTCCGTTAAGGCATCTTCCACCACCAATGCTGGCCTCGCTTTCACTGCTGCAGCTTCTGCTGCTGCTCCAGCTGCTGCTGCTGCTGCTGCTAATACTGCTGCCGGTGCTTCCGGTGCTGCTGCTGGTGCCTCTCCTGCGGCTCACTTGCTGCGTCTGCAGCTGCTGCTGCTCCTCCACGCCACTCACTTCCTCCTCTCCCACTCGCAACCCGCGCTCGCCCCCAGTGTTCAGTCGCCTGCAGCGCCCTCGCAAGAGCCCCACTCCACACACTCTCTCCTCTCCCACGACCAGCCCTCGCCAGAGACACACGCGACAGGAGGCACCCAGGGCTCGAAGGGCGAGGGAGGAGGGGAAGGCGTGACTGCTGCAGTCAATTACGCAGACAGTGTCTATGGTTGTGGTGCTGGTTCGATTTGTGGTGAGGATGGTGGTGGTGGCAGTGGTAGCAGCAGCGGTAATGTGAGAGGAAGCAGAGAGGCAGGAGAACTTGCGGTGGACGGAGACGGCGTGGTCTGGCAGTCTCTGGAGCTTCTTCAGCAAGTCGTGGCCGCAGGTAGGGTTCCTCTGGGTATCTGATAGAGGGAAGGGGTTTGAAATCTCTCAAGAGCACTTCTTTAGCGGCAGCAAGTCATGGCAGCCGGTACGGTGTAGCATTAGCTTTGACTCTGTGCTGTTTCTGAGAACCGCTGTATGGTTCAAACGGCAGTCCGGGCGTCTGCTCTCCCATTCCCTCCAGCCCCCAACCTTCCCCCGTCTTACTCCCCTGCCCTCTTCTTCCTCCCCCCCGTCTTACTCCCCTGCCCTCTTCTTCCTCCCCCCCGTCTTACTCCCCTGCCCTCTTCTTCCTCCCCCCCGTCTTACTCCCCTGCCCTCTTCTTCCTCCCCCCCGTCTTACTCCCCTGCCCTCTTCTTCCTCCCCCCCGTCTTACTCCCCTGCCCTCTTCTTCCTCCCCCCCGTCTTACTCCCCTGCCCTCTTCTTCCTCCCCCCCGTCTTACTCCCCTGCCCTCTTCTTCCTCCCCCCGCCTTACTCCCCTGCCCTCTTCTTCCTCCCCCCCGTCTTACTCCCCTGCCCTCTTCTTCCTCCCCCCCGTCTTACTCCCCTGCCCTCTTCTTCCTCCCCCCCGTCTTACTCCCCTGCCCTCTTCTTCCTCCCCCCCGTCTTACTCCCCTGCCCTCTTCTTCCTCCCCCCCGTCTTACTCCCCTGCCCTCTTCTTCCTCCCCCCCGTCTTACTCCCCTGCCCTCTTCTTCCTCCCCCCCGTCTTACTCCCCTGCCCTCTTCTTCCTCCTCCTCCCCCCTCTTCTTCCTCCCCCCCGTCTTACTCCCCTGCCCTCTTCTTCCTCCCCCCGCCTTACTCCCCTGCCCTCTTCTTCCTCCCCCCCGTCTTACTCCCCTGCCCTCTTCTTCCTCCCCCCCGTCTTACTCCCCTGCCCTCTTCTTCCTCCCCCCCGTCTTACTCCCCTGCCCTCTTCTTCCTCCCCCCCGTCTTACTCCCCTGCCCTCTTCTTCCTCCCCCCGTCTTACTCCCCTGCCCTCTTCTTCCTCCCCCCCGTCTTACTCCCCTGCCCTCTTCTTCCTCCCCCCGCCTTACTCCCCTGCCACCTGGTCTTTCACTCTCCCCCCCCCGTCTCCACTCTTTCTGGAGTGGTAGATTTTTTATTTTTTATTTTCAGCCATGGGGGTTGACCAATGATCCGGACAGTTCATCTCTAGAGAACCATCTGAGTGGCGTGGTCCTCTCCTTCTCCCCCCTTCCTGGCTCCCTGCAGCTGCTGCTCTTACAGACCCTCCCTCACACTCACAAGCCGCTTCAGAATCAGAATCAGCATCGGCGGTAGCAGCCGTTGGTGCTCGCTCCCTCCGCGTGTCACTGCCTCTCATCGTGGAGCTTCTCTCGCATGAGGTCAGCCATGGGGGCTAACCACAGAGTTGTATGAACACCTGCCAGCTCTGTGAATCTCAACCGATGATGCTGACAACACCGTTGTTGACAACATCAAGCAAAGCACAACAGTCCTTTGAATCAAACCCGGCTGAGTGACATATAGCCTCTCTATTCTTGCTTGCTTCCCCACAGGATGATGCCCTCTTGGACGGTCTGTCTCTCCTGGCCTCCATATCCAGTTTTTTGTTGTCTCAATACTCGCTAACCATTGCACCGATTCACTACTCTGCCCTCGTCTTCCCCACAGGATGATGCCCTACTCGACGGTCTGTCGCTCCTTGCCTCCATATCCAGTCAAATCAAGCGTTCCGCAGGCTCTGGTCAAACCCTCAGTTCAGCAGCGCCAGCACAGCACTCGGAGCCGGTTTTCGAGGCGCCTCAGAAAGCAGCACAGCATGAGGAGCCGCGTATAGGAAGAGCAGTAGCAGCATCTGCAGCAGCAAGAATGCAAGAAAATCTGCTACCAGGGGGAGCAGCAGCAGGAGGCAGCAGGCAAGGAGGACAGGCAGTGGCAGCATGGGCAGCATGGGTAGCATGGGCAGCAGCACAGGGAGCAGCACCCAGGGAGGAGCGGACTCTGCAGGAATGGTTGGCGGCGTTGAGGGAGGAAGACATTCTCCAGTGCTGGCTGCAGCAGATGGGGCATGATGCCACGGCTGTGGTGGACCTTCTCATTCAGCCAGCCACGGCCCACTCCTGCCTTCGCTTGCTGCTGCTGTAGGTGCTGCTGCTGCTGTGAGTGCTGCTGCTGCTGCTGTGAGTGCTGCTGCTGCTGCTCTGAGTGCTGCTGCTGCTGCTGTGAGTGCTCCTGCTGTTGTGAGTGCTGCTTGCTCGTGTTCTCATGTCTCGTTCTGTCATTAGTGTCACTTGCGTTATAAGTTTCCAATGATCCTAATTTCAGCCACCACTTGTTTGTGCTCCGCTTATTTGTTGCCGAAGAACTTTGTTTTTGCTCGCTTGGTTTTTTTTCCCGTCACACGCATTCATCTTCACGTTCACATTCGCTGATTCTATATCAGCCAATTTGATCAATCTTCTTCAAGCTGTCCCACCTGCCTGCCTTCTAGCACGCCTCCCAGGTTAGCGGCGCTATGTCTCTAATCCCCTCTGCTTCCCTTCTCGTCCCGCACACACTGCCACAGATGCCTCCCATCAGCGACCGCCACCTGGAAGCACGTGATTGGCCGTGCTCTGTGGCTACAGTGCGTGGGGTCAGCGTCAGGGGGAGGGGTGCAGCTTTGTGAGAGTGGGGAAGGAGAAGGAAATGGGAGTGAGGGAGGTAGGAGTGAGGGAGGTGGGGGTGAGGGAGGTGGGGGTGAGGGAGGTGGGAGTGAGGGAGGTGGGGGTGAGGGAGGTGGGAGTGAGGGAGGTGGGAGTGAGGGAGGTGGGAGTGAGGGAGGGGAAGGAAAGAAAGGGGAACGCAGGGGTGAGGCAGCAAAAGGCACACAAGAGGAACACCCAAGGTCGCACAAACGCCAACTGGAGCAGCAGGAGGAAGCGGAGAGGGAGGGGACTGGAGAGTGGAAGAGGGCGAGAGAGTGGGAAGAAGCGAGGTGTGGTGCTGATGAGGGCGAGGCATGTATCCGTGGCAGGACGGGTGGGCATGTGCCATGGAAGTGGCAGGGTCTTGGGCTAGAAGAAAGAGACTGGCCGGACAGGACAGACGGTCGATTGAGGGAAGTGGAGGAGGAGGAGGAGGGAGGAGTGGAGAGGGGAGGGAACGAGGAGGAGGAAGAAGAGGATAAAGAGGAGGAAGAGGATGAGGATGACGAGGGGGAAGAGGAGGAGGAGGAAGAAGAGGATAAAGAGGAGGAAGAGGATAAAGAGGAGGAAGAGGAAGAGGATGAGGAGGGGGAAGAGGAGGAGGAGGAAGAAGAGGATGCGGGGGAGGAAGAGGGCATAGAGGTGGAAGGCAATGAGCAGGGCGTTTCTGCTATAGTCACACCGTCTACAGTCGCACATTCTACAGCAGCAGAATCTAAAACTGCAGTGGTGGACTCCCTCCTGTGCCTGGCTCAGCTGCACAAGCGGCTCTCTCGCCTGCAGCGCCTGGGGCTCTTCCCTTACAACGTGCAGCCTCTGTTGACCAGGTGAGGCAAGCTGTTGACCAGGTGAGACAAGCTGTTGACCAGGTGAGACAAGCTGTTGACCAGGTGAGACAAGCTGTTGACCAGGTGAGTGAAGCTGTTGATCAGGTGAGACAAGCTGTTGACCAGGTGAGGCAAGCTGTTGATCAGGAGAGAGAAGCTGTTGACCAGGTGAGACAAGCTGTTGACCAGGTTGCACAGGTACAGCCACAAGGATGCATGACTGCAGCCATTTCGAATAACTTGATTCTCTAATTTTATTGTTTTATTCCTCCTCATTCCTATCCTCGCCTTCATGACAGGTTACGTGACCTGCTCAAAGATGGGTTGGGGGGGAAGGTGGGGGGAGAGAGAGGAGGGTGGGGTGGGAAGGGGACGGGGAAAGGAGGAAAGAGAAAGTTGACCCTTCGATGTGATTGAACATGCACTAGTTTGACTTTCCAGTTTTATGGTTCAATTTGTTTCGGTGGGTACGACCAAGAGAAGGAAAGGCGGAAATTGAAAGACACATCTAGGGAGGCTGCGTGGTAGAAAGATGCAATGTGAACAAAGGAGACGAACTCGACATTAGATGCTCGGTTACCGAAGTTTCCGAGCCGTAGCCTGCTTGAAACGTGTATATTCCTGACAATGAGCGATGGCAGGCGATTTCACCTCATCGACGAATAATCGTGACCGTGGAATCTGCAGTGTCCAGGTCACCATCATTCCCGCGTCGCAGATCAGATCGCATGAATAATGGACCCTGAACTCCAAATCGACCTTCACGAAGTCTGGACATCAACGAGAGTTTTCGGGCATCACCCACCACCTTTGCCTCGGCTCGCAAGAAGAGTTTGAATCTGCTGGAAGCCCCTCAGTCGCGCGACCTCCTGCTTGCGACCCTTCAGGCGATTTCGCATCTGCTGCAGCGGAGGTGCTCCGTGTCGCGAACGCTTGTTTCGCAAAATGCCAGGCGTGTTTGAAAATGTTTGCCCTGGTGGTCCCTGCTACTGCTGCTACTGTACTGCTCACGATGGAAAGACGAAGCGAGGCAGATCAGAGAATTTCTCCCTCCCCTTGCTGGGTTCTTTTCTTACCCCGTTCAACCTTCAGGAGCCATCAGTGCGCAGCTGTAGATAGTCCATCACTACTCCAGCTTCTTCCCATTTCCATGGCGCGGCGACGCGGCAAACTTTGTCCGAGGCGCTCTTCTCGTCCGTTACGCCATCCTCTCGACATGGGAGGTGGGGTGAGGCCGAGGCGCCGCGTCGTCGTGATCGCGAGGCACGTGAGAGGCAAACATAACGCCTCTCCTGTCGTGACGACGACGACGACGAGATTCGGTACTATAAAGTCCGCCGCAGGAGCGCAATGTAGCATGCTTCATTACTCAGCGCTCTAGCGTTCGACTACCCTCTCTCGAAAGTCTTATCGATTCGGAGTGGCACTCACAGCACCACCTGTTTGCATATTTCCCCCGCGACTAGTCCACTCATATCTCAACTAGTCGTCGACTCCAACTGTTTGGAGTAGCTCTCTCGAGTATTCGTCGGCGCCATCATGAGTCGCGCACTTCTCCTCCTTATCGCGCTATCCGCGTTATTCGCAGCAACCGGCATCGCTGCGACTAAGCCCTCCGGCTCTGGCGGAATCGCCCTCCGCGGCGGCAGCGGCGGCGGCGGCGGGAAAAGCGCCGCAATGGCTAGTACTACTAGTGGAAGCGCCAATGTTACCAACGCTGCTGGCGGCGGGAAGGGCAACGCAACAGCAGGGGTGAAGCGCGGTGGCAAAGTCGGCGTGTTGTGCGGAGAGTGCAGCAAAGGAGGATCCTCCGGCGGCGGCGCATCTCGCGGCGGAGGAGGGGGCGGCGGTCACGACGACCATCATGGCTCGGGAGGGTCGCACGGTGGGTCGCATGATGACGAGTCGCACGGCGACGGTTCGTATCACGGGCGCGGGCGCGACGAGGAGCAGGAGGACGAGGAAGACTCGGCGGAGGAGCAGCAGCGAGGCGGCAGTCATCGTGGTGGCGGCGACTGGGATTCGGCGAATGAGGAATCCGAGGACGACTCGGATTCAGCCGAGGGCAGCGACGATGAGAGCGGTCACGGGGACGGAGGCGGGCGCGGAGGCGGGCACGGGCGTGGAGGCGGGGGTGGGCGTGGAGGGGGGCACTCGCACGACGAGGAGGAGGAGGACGAGAGCGAGGAGGTGGAGGATGAGGGGGAGGATGAGTATGAGGATGAGGACGAGGGTGGTAGGAGCCATGGCGGTCACGGCGGGCGGGGAGGCGGGCGCGGGGGACACGGGGGACGCGGGGGAGGGGGCAGCTGCGGCGGGCTGTGCGACCGTGGCGGGTGCAGCGCGAGCTCGGGCGTGGTGGACTATTGGAAGCTGCCCAAGTACCAAGACTGCTCCAGCGGTGGCAGCAGCAGCAGCAGCGCGCCGAGGAAGGGCAACGAGGGCTGGTGCGCGGGGGGGGCGGTGAATGTGAAGGAGTGCTGCAGCAAGTGCCGGAGCACCAACGCCACCAGCGACGGCAAGCCCTTCAACTGCCGCCACTGGGTGCACATCCCGTGAGTCCCCCCTCCCTCACATCCCGTGAGTCCCCCCTCCCTCACATCCCGTGAGTCCCCCCTCCCTCACATCCCGTGAGTCCCCCCTCCCTCACATCCCGTGAGTCCCCCCTCCCTCACATCCCGTGAGTCCCCCCTCCCTCACATCCACGCCTTCCGTTTCCACTTAGGGGGGTGCACATTTCCATTTCGCTTTTTGCAAGTGCAATCTGTGGCTACCTCTTTTGTACAGCAGTCATTGTTCCTCCCCCCTTACTCATCTCTACCCTCTCTCCATCTTTCTCCCCTCCATTCCAGGTCAATCAGCTCCCACCGCGGCAGCAGCAGCAGCAGCAGGCAGTGCGGCAAGTGCATCCTGCTGCCTGCCATCGACGCCCTCACGCCCGTGAAGGCCACCCGGGAGCGGTGCGGCAGCACCAACCACACCAAGGTGCGCGTGGGCAAGCGCTGCCCGTACGGCGAGAACGACCCGCACTTTCTGGGCGCGCATGGCACGCGCTTTGACTTCAACGGGCTGCCCAACCGCTCCTTCTGCCTCTACACCGACCGCCACGTGCACCTCAACATGGCCATGCGCGGCTACCTCGACTCGCGGCCCCTCCCTGCTGCTGCTGCCACTGCTGCTGCTGCTGGTTCTGTGGCCGCTGCTGCTGGGTCTGCCATGCCTGCTGCTGGTTCTGCCACTCCTACTGCTGCCACTTCTGCCAGTGCTGCATCTTCTGCTAACGTGCTGGCTGCTGCTCGTTTCGTCAACGGCTCGGCTGTCCGCACGTGGATCCGCCAGCTGGCAATCATGTGGCACGATGGGGAGGGCAGCAGCAGCAGCACAAGTGCTTCTACCTCTTCTCACTCTCTCGTGCTCACCGCACGGGACGGAAAGGAGCAGACTCGCGGCTCAAAGGGCTTCCTTGCATCGGCTACTCTCGACAATGTGCTTCTCCCTCGCTTGACCCTTGGCCAGAGCCACATTCTTTCCAATGGGCGGCTGAACCTGTCCTTTGTGGGCCAGGAGAAGACCGGCCCGTATGACGTGGACGTGTACTCGCTCCGCCTGGACAACCTCCTGGAGCTCGACCTGAAGCTGCGCGCCGCCCACCCTCTGTTGCAAACACCTGAGGACGCCCAGGTGCACATCAACGTGATGTTTGTGGACTCGAACCCGAGCGGGCAGGTGCACGGGGTGATGGGGCAGACCTTCCGCAGCGGCAGGGAGCGACGAACCATGGAGTATTCGAGGCTCTCTGCCCTGCTGCACCACCCAGTGTCGGTGGACGGGGAGGAGGGGAAGGGGTTTCTGGATGGGGAGGCGGCGGACTATGAGACGACTGGAGTTACGGCTGCTGACTGCAAGTTCACTGCTTTCAATGGGGGACAGCTGCCCCTGCTGTCAGAGTAGAAAGGACGGGAGGGCATGAGCATGAAGGGAGACCCATGGTCATGTGGTACCAAGGCTCGCAAGAAACGTGGCAAGCAGCTAGTAGTGGCAAGTGTGGCTGATGGCCTTGGAGTCAACTGCTTCACACCATCCTCGCAACACAAGTGCATTCCAGCAGGCCCTCAAGCTAATGCATGCTTGGTTTCGCCTGGAGCAAGTGTAGGAGTCGACCAAATCGGCCTGTAGGATTCCATCAATCGCTGTTTGTGTACTGTTGTAAATTTGTAATTTTCTACTAGCGTCAGTTGTATGTTTCAAGTATCAGAATTGAAAATTGAATGATAGATAGAGTGAGAGTACACACATATATACCTAAGTGTTGTACTCTCTAAGAGGTGACCCTATACAGTCTATACAAACATGACAAATACACATGTTTGACACACCCCCTAGACTGCATAGGGGAATGCCCTAAACAAACAGCTCAGGGCGGCACTACTAGTCCAACCTCTGAGACAAGGGTCTAAGAGTCCAGTCAGAAGGAGTACAAACAAGGCAAGAACAAGGGCAGGGCGGCACTACTAGTCCAGCCACTGCGAGAGGACACAAGTCCAGTCTGAGTATACGTATAAAGGACAGTACAAAGTCAAGGTCCTAGCAAGTGAGAGGCTACAGGAACTAGACCCAGCTGTACACAGTGCCGCTGATGATCTTTAGGCGCAAGCGCCTTCGTAAAGATATCAGCCGTGTTGGCACCTGAGGCCAAGTGTACTACGCGAGCCTGACGTCGCTGCTGTAGCTCACGCAGGAGGAAGTACCGCAGCTGAATGTGCTTCGCTCTGCCCTCGAGTCGAGGCTCCTGACACAGGAGGATCATGGCCCTGTTGTCAGCGAACAGGACCGGGGCAGAGCTAGGCCGCTCACCTAAGTCAGTGAGCAAGAAGGTCAGCCAGCGGAGCTCCTGTGCCGCCATGGCACCAGCGTAGATCTCAGCCTCACAGCTGGACTGCGCTACAGACGAGGAGCGGGTAGCTCTCCACGAGACAGCAGCTGAGCCAAGGCTAAAGCAGTAGCCCTGGGTAGACCTGAGCGTCTCAGCGTCGTCTGCCCAAGAAGCGTCTGTGTGTCCAGTAAGGACCATTGGCCTGCGTCCTCCTAGCACTAACCCCATGCCCGATGTACTAGCAAGATAACGCAGAACCCTCTTAGCGGCAGACCAGTGCTGCGGTCGGTGTCTGCCTGTGGCCACAAAGCGAGCCAGGATGCTGAGAGGGTATGCGAGATCTGGGCGAGTGCAAGTCATCAGGTACATGAGGCAACCCACCAGCTCTGCGTAGGGGCCGCTGGGCTCTACCAACTCCTCAGACACTGGAGCGGAGAGTCTGTGGTCTACAGGCAGAGGGGTGGGCTGTGCAGAGGAGAACTGAAGGCTGAACCTCTGAAGGACCTGGCGCACCAAGTGTGACTGAGTCAGGGTGATGGTGCGCGCAGCTCTGTCCCTGGAGATATGCAAGCCAAGGTAACGGCGCAGTTCTCCAAGGTCAGTGCACGTGTGTCTCTTCAGAAGCTCTGCCTTCACGGAGGCCAGTGTGTCCCTGTCTGCTGTGGCAAAGACCAGGTTGTCGACGTAAACAAGGATGTAGAACGGAGTCTGGCCAGCACGAACGAAGAGTAAAGGGTCTGCGGAAGACGGAAAGAACTGCAGGTCAGCAAGGGTAGCACGAAGAGTGTCGTGCCACTCACGAGGAGCCTGGCGCAGGCCGTAGACGGGGCGCCGCAGGAGCCACTGGGTACCAGGAGGGAAGGTGCCAGTAAAGCCCGGAGGGCGACGCAGGTAGACCTGCTCGTGTAGGCTGCCCTGAAGGAAGGTCGTGGAGAAGTCGAGGGAGTGAAGCTCGTAGTCACGCTGAGCCGCTAAGTGTAACAGAACCCGAAGAGTAGTCATCTTCGGGGTCGGAGCGAAGGTCTGGAAGAAGTCCACCCCCTCGCGCTGACTGAAGCCTCTAGCCACATAGCGCGCCTTGAAGACCGGCGGCTCTCCAGGAGGGCGCTTCACCTTGAAGAGCCAGCGGCCATCGACTACGTTCACCCCAGGTGGGGGAACTGCGTCGACGAAGGTGCCGGTGGATCTCCAAGATGCCATCTCCTGCTCCAGGGCAGCTATCCACTGCGAGGCCCAGGGTCCCGAGGTCGCCTCAGCGTAAGTGCGAGGGGTCGGGATGTCGAAAGCGTCTGGGTCACCCTCAGGGACTAGCAGCATGGAACAGAGATGGGGAGCAGCCTCGGAGAGGAAAGCAAGCTCGAACGGGCGGTCCTCCAGGACGTCACTGCCAAGGGCAGGAGCACCCCCGACAGACGGATGACAGGCAGGGTCAGAGACCAGAGCGGAGGCGTAGTCAAGGCGGCGGGTAGAGGCGAAGTCAGCGACAGCAGCAACAAGGGCGTCAAGGCACGAGGCCGGAACAGACGGGTCGGTAACGAGAGAGGCAAGGACGCGAGGAACAAGAGGACGAGCGGCACGAAGGTAGTCAAACAGCGGGGGGGGTGCAACAACAAGGGAGGACGGAGGAGGCGACGGCAGAAGGGGAGGACGAGACGCGTGGGAACGAAGCAACATAGGGTGGGAGCGCAGGACAGGCGAGGCAGGACGAGCACGGGAGGGACGGTGAGACCAGACGTGCGACGGAGGAGTCGGGTCAGGAGACAGAGGAGGGGACACAGGAGGGGAACGAGGGGGGAGACGGGCCGGGGACGAGTCCGGCGGAGGGAAAACAGGGCCGTAGACAGGAAGAGGAGGAGACGGTCGGGCAGGAACCGACGCAGGGTCGGGGGACAGCAGGCCGAGCAGGCGAAGGGCTGACACCGGCGGGGACTGCTGCTGCGGCGGCACAACGGCGACACCGGGACCGCAAGCTGCTCCTCGGCTACCCCCGGCACTCTCCACACCAGCACCCCCAGAGGGACCACCCCCAGGGCTACCGGAACGAGCACCCCCAGAGTCAGCGAACGGGTGCTGCGACGGCGGCGGCGGCGGCGGCGGCAACGACGGCTGCAGCGGCGGCAGAGGCGGTGGAGGAGGGGACTGGGGAGGGGACGCCAGGGGAGGGGCGGCTGGCGAGGACTGCACAGGAGGGCCACCAGAGTCAGACGACTCCTCAACCGGGTCCACCGACGGAAGGGGGGTGACGTGGGACACACCAGAGGGGGCGGGACGGGGAGGAGGAGGAGGAGGGGCAGGGACTACCGGGGAAGGAGGGACCAGGAACAGGGGGGGGTAACCGGGGGACCACGGTGGGGGAAGCGACGGTAGTAGGAGACGGACTCGTCAAAGGTGACGTCACGAGAGTGAAAGAAGCGGTGAGACGGCGGGTGGTAAAAGTGCCAGTCGGACGCGTCAAGGGGAAAACCGAGGAAGACGCAGGGAAGGGTGCGGGCAGTGAGCTTGTCCGTGCCGGAGGCACGAACGTGAGCAAGGCAGCCCCAGACGTGGAATGGAGACGCGTCACCAGGAGACCCAGTCCACAGACGGGTCGGCGAAACCTGCGGCTGCTGAGGGTGCGGCCACAGGTTAAGCTGGTGAGAAGCGTAGCGCACAGCGAACGGCCACAGAAAATGGGGTGCACCGGCATGGATCATGGAGGTGCGAGCGACCTCCATGACCAAACCGATGCGTCGCTCAGCAACCCCATTCTGCTGTGGGGAGTCCGTTAGGGTGAACGTCTGGGTGATGCCCTCCGCACGACAAAAGCGACCAAGGACACCGGAGGCAAACTCGCCACCACGGTCTGAGTGAAGACGCAAGACAGGGAGACCGCGGTGGACACGCGCAGAGACAAGCCAGGGGATGAGAGCGCCAGGCACGTCAGCCTTGCGCTCCAGGGGAAAGACTATGGTGTAGCGAGTGAAGTCGTCGACGAGCACAAGGAAGTAGCGCTCTCGACGCGGCCCAGGGACGGGGGCGGGGCCCCAGACGTCCAGGTGCAGGGTCTGCAGCGGCGCGGCGGTAGGGGGAAACGAGGAGGAGTGAGGGGCACGGCGAAGCCGACCCTCGACGCAAGGCGTGCAAGGTGGGGCTGGGGAGGAGGGAAACGCGTGGAGAGAACCTGGGAGACCAAGGACAAGACCGTGCTTGGACATGTGATGCAGACGCGAGAGCGCAGGGTGACCTAGGCGGTGGTGCCAAAGGAGGGTCGGGTGAGTGAGGGACCGACAGGAGCAGGCGGCAGCAACCTGGGTGAGCGCTCCAGCCGGGGGGGTCACGGTGTCCAGAGTGAACAGGCCGGACACCGGGTCCCGGGGGAACGTGGACAGGGGGGCACCAGTGGCGGTCTCGGTACAGACAGCATACCGCTCGTGACCAGGGAACGTAGTGGTGACGCTGAGGTCCTGGAGGCAGCCGACACCAACTAGGTTCCTGGAGAACGAGGGGATATGCAGACCTGTAAGAGAGCCCGAAGGAACCGCCGGACAGGGAAGGGTGGTGGAACTGCGGGCGACGACCGGACCGCCAGAGGGGTCAGCAAGAGAAACGGCAGCAGGGACGGGAAGCGGCGTCAGGGTGGTGGAGTCGCGGAAGAAACACCGAGAAGCGCCAGAGTCCAAGGTGAAGGAAAGCGAAGCAGAGGCGTCTGGCGACGGAACGACGGCGGAAGCACCAAGACTACACAAAGCAGGGGATCCTACGCCTGACGCAGCAGGGGAGGCTAAGCTAGGCACACCTACACTAGGCACCAGTGAGTAATAAGTTGGAAGCACACTAGAGTCATCAGCATACATCACATGCAGAGCAGAAACAATGGCATCCATGTCCATATCAAAGATCTGAATCTTACGACTAAGCAAACTGTGCCAGTCCGGGAGGTCTGGCAACGGGCCGAAGCGCTGACGAAAGAGGTCGTCCAGGCGACGAAAACAGCGGGGAGTGGAGTGACCGATCTTACCGCAAACGAAGCCGCGGCGAGGACCGGTCTTGATCTGGTACTGACAGCGCCCGCCGCCAGAGCTACCACTCGACACACCACCACGCGCCCGGCCACCGCCAGCGCCGGGCCACCCGGGCGGGAGGACACTCGTCTGCCGCGTCTGCGACGGCTGCTGCGGCTGCTGCGAAGGCTGCTGCGGCTGCTGCAACTGCAGGGGCGGCGGCTCAGCTGAACTGGGCAGGGTCCCCTCGTCCGCTCCAGCACCAGACGACCCGACCCCACCACTACCCCCTCCCGCACCCCCGCCTCCGCCTCCGCCGCGCCCAATCTTGGGGCGGTGGCCCTTCCCCGAACAAAAGTGCGCAGCAG